TGAGAGTACTCAAGTTAGGGTTCACTCAGCTAGAAAGTGACAGGACTAGCACTGGAATCAACTGCTGACTCCCCACCTGTGCTCCATCATAGCCTCCATCACCTCCCCATGGGAAAGGGCTGTATGGTCAGCAGCCTTCCTCTACTTAGGACATCTCAGTTCTCCTTCTCCCTCTTAGAACTCCCTCCTGTCAAGGAAGCTGGTTCCTGGGTTCTAGTTCTGTGGGGGCACACCTGCGTAATTCCTCTAAATAGCTAGTACCCCCTAGGAGGAGACAGCAGACACACCACCTGGGTGAGCAAACCTGTGTACTTCAGAGAATAGACACACAAAAGCTGAGTTTGAGGTAAGAAGATAAAGGTTCTGAGTTTAAGATGCTCTCAAGCATTAGGTGGAGGCCAGGTGCAATGGTCATGAGGCAAGGGATACATCAGAACAAGAGAAAAAAATCTACATTTTGCTCTCAGTTTTGTCTAAGATAATAGGCCCTCAGGTTTGCATCTATTTTCTAGGGCTTAGGATCCTGGATCTAGATTAAAACAAAAGCTGCCTTTGGCCTTGCCGACTAGTGAGGTGTGCACCAAATCCAGGGACAACAAGAGGATCTTGGGGAGCCCCAAGCCATTCTTTCTCCAGATCCTACCAGGCTGGCCTCCTTTCCCTGAGCCTGTGTAAACTATGTATTTATCTCCCTAAATGAGAGGAACCAACGTCCCAGTGATCTAGGTTGTCCAGCTTATGGTTCATGCCATGGAATGAGATTGGGGAACTAAGTGCCTGTCACACTCAAGCCCCATTTACCAATCACAACAGTCTCGTAAGGGTAGTTATTTCCCCATTTTATAGATGAAAAAACTGATGCACAGAGGTTTGTTTCTCAGGCCCCAGAAGATCCCTAGGCACTAGTAGAAATGCTAATTTTTTGGCCCCATCCTAACTAGACCTACAGAATTTCCCTGCAGTAGACAGGAGAATCTGCCTTTTTTTTTTTTTTTTTTTTTTGAGACAGTC